GATTCAAACAATAGTGTAAATGTTTCTTGATTGCTAGAAAAAATATGGAAAATTCTATCATGCCTATATTTTACTTTTATGAATTTATTTTAACCATTTAATGGTTTCATTTTAAAACTATTCAATAATCAAAATATAAAAATATGTTTTTTTTGTATTTTTGAGTTCAGATCAACTGTGAATTAGTTTTATAAAGTCTATTCACTTTTATAAAAGGATATATCCTTTAATTATATCCGGAATACTTTATAAACTATACAAAAATGTTTTGTGAAATAATTTCCTTTTTTGAGAAACATTATCCACTTATGTACTCATAATATAAATAACAATTAAAAAGTATATTCCAGTATTAAAGTTGCGAAAATGATTTTAAATGTTTAATAGATATTTTACCCAGCATCTGTTATAACAGGAACAGGTAATTTGCTTTCATAATTAATTTGGTCTAAAATATAAATCTTATTTTTACACATTTATAATCATATAACTTATAATTTATAATTTAATGTAAATAATTATTAGCATAACTGGATTTGAAAATTGAGGGGAATTCTGGATAATTTATCAAATAATATATAAGTTTTAAATATTTAGACTCTTGTTTAATTTAATCGTCTGCCAATTTATATATCCAATATCAATAAATAGTTATGCAAACGGTTATATAACGAGTTATACTTCATATAATAAAATTTTTTATCATAAAAATTATTTTTAACTATAATTCCTTATACAGTATATAAGGAAATCAGAAAATTTAACTTATTTGAATATGTTTTTCCACGTTATTCAATGCCAGTTATATTTTATGTATTTTTACTTCAAAATAACCTTTTCTAATATGAATACTAATTCCTTATACAGTATATAAGGAAATCAGAAAATTTAACTTATTTGAATATGTTTTTCCACGTTATTCAATGCCAGTTATATTTTATGTATATTTACTTCAAAATAACCTTTTCTAATATGAATACGAATGTATAACTGTAAGTATCTATTATAATATAAATTTATGTAATTTACATAATTTGATGTAAATCAGTTTAAATAACTTTATTTAATAATTGTATTGTTATTTCTATTTGGTTTTTAAAATTATAATAATATGAAAATAAGTGTTCAATATAAGAATTACAATTATATTTTCACTCAAATATTTAATATCTTATAGTAAAGCCTTCATAGGTTGTGGGCACAGTTCATTTAGTTTGAGAAGTCACTAAAAGAGCATGGACAATTAGACAATTTGCAATTATAACTATAAATAATGATTTAATGAATTGTCATTCAGTGAAGTCATTAACAGTAGGGCTAATAGACTCCATCCTCCGGATAAAGGATAGGATGTATTCCTAACTCTCATTAACAGCACATTAATCACAAACTCATGGCTTAATGAGTTCACACGAAATCAATTACTTAACTATAATTATAATCGTTTTGTATGTTTAACTAATAATTCATTTGTTGAATTGCATTGTTAATGAACTCTCACTTATAAAGAACTTCCATCTAATTGACTGACACTTGAATTTAGGAAAAGTTAGTCTCACATAAGATATACGAAAACATGTTATCAAATGGTAATAAGACTGGAATTTTACAAAACACTAATCAAAAAGTGAACCAAACATGTGAAAATATCCATTTTGTAACATTTATATGAGAATATTATACAATTTATTGTATAATTTAATTTTCTTAAGATTAAATTTAATGGCAACAATTTATAGCTGTAAATGTAATTTTAGTCATAAATTGTACTGTATATTTAAGGCATAAGATTAATCATTGAACAAATAATATAATTATATTATTATATATTATATATTATATATTATTATTATATTAAAATACATTAAGTATCTAAAATTTTTGAGAATCATAATTGAAAGTGCAGACAATTATAAATATTTATATGAAAAATAATATTATAATAATTTTTTCAATTCTCAACATTTTAACAATGAATTAGTTATTATTATCAATAATTTTATTGTATTTATAGCCACAGTATTATAGCATTTGATGCTTTTATAACATTTTCAAAGAAAAAGTTTAATTTTCTTTTATATCAATTTCATATAAAGACCTGTAATGAATATAATGACCAGGGACTTTGTTGGGGATGTCAACTGTGCACTTATCTGCCCACGATCCTATTATACATATCGCACAGACGTCATACGAAAAAATCACATTTAAGTCCACAATTCATTAGAAATTGATACTCAATACATGTTTGAATATCCATTACTTACTGATTAGATATTTTATCCCAAGTTTTGTTATCCTGTAACATAACACCCCCTCTTCAGTCTGGAGGCACTGGTGTTTATGGCAATCAAATAATTAAATATAAGAATAGAAAAGTACATATTTATTGTTCCCTATAGTATGCAATGCTATGTGTGTACACTATATTCTCTCTCTC